GTGTCGGTGTGTAGCGGTTAAAAGATGAAATAATTAAGGTTTACATTGAAAATACAAAACAATTTAATATACAACTGTTTAAAACAATGTAGAATGTAAAAACAACAGTAACCACAACATCTGTAAACCTGACGGCGGACAGCTCGGTTTTGGCGGCTGGACGTACAGGACGACAACAGTTTGCTCATTGAAACACATGCACAACCAAGCACCGTTACACACCTCGACGCCCGCTCTTAAAAGGTTTTGAAAGTGGAAAAGAGCTAAAACATTTTTATTTTTCATCAAAATTATACATGGTAATTTACAGGCCCTTCCAACATTAACTTAAAAAACGAAATCCCGCAACAAGAGACGCTTCCCGCTGACGAGGAGGAGAGTCGGAACTGAAGAATCGGACTGTTTTTGGCAAAGTTTGGTCAGAAATCACAGTATGATACAGGGGCTGGTCCCATGCTGTTAAAGACGGGCGTCCCTACAGAGCTGCTGAAAAGAAAACATTTAAAAAGGGATCTGGATATATGACCGTGTAAAAGCGACTTTAAAAAAAATACGACTGTCAGTGAAGGATCCGATGCCACTGCGAGTCCATTTTACAGTCGCTCAGGAGGAAACTTAAAGAAATACGTGTTGTTTAGTCTCGTTGGGGGGGGGGGGTCGAGTGTTGAGGGGGATCACCGGGGGGAAAAGCTGCTGGTTGGGTTTTAAAACAAGTGTGTCTTCCACTTGGAGACGCGAGTCAGTGCTTTGTGTTCGTCTCCTCCTGGCCCGAGCTGGAGAGGCCGTTCTGCGGTTGGGTGGAGCCCGAGCCCAGGCCGTACAATCTCCCACAATACTTTGCGTCGTCGATGTTGTCTTCGAAGAAAAGCTAAACGAAAGAGAAAAAAAAAACACCATCTATTTGAAACACAAATGACTTCTTTGATGCGACGCTTTCAAAAGCAGGAAGTTAAGAGTGCGACAGTACCTCTTTCATCCTGAAGAAAGCCATGCCGGTGAGAAGCGAGTCCGACCCCGCCTGATGCTGCCGTCCGATCCGCTTCAGCTCCAGCTGGTCCGCTACCTCCTGCAGCCCCCCCTGCGTACACGGGAGCCCAAAAGACACGAGTGAGGCGGCTGAAGACTTGTTCCCACCCTAAACCCTGTCCTCGGCAGATGCCGCTGATCGACTTCTTCACGCGCACAGCCAGTGAGGAATACCTTCAGGTTCTTGCAGCTCTTCATCAGGTATTTCACGTCGTAGATGGCGGGGAAGAAGAGGTTGAGGATCTGGAAGAAGTCGTGTTCCTCCTCCGGGAGCCGCGTGTCGGTCAGGAGCTTCACCAGGTAGCCGAAGTCGTAGCCGCTGACAGACACAGAACAGACGCAGTTGGGTTATGGAACATAATGAAGTCCACTCGCCTCTTCTGTTAGGTTCAGATCCCAAATGGAGCTTTGCTGGCATCGTTTTTTTTTTTTTTTTTTGCTCCATGTTGCCAGACTCTGCTCACCCAGTTTCCTTTTGCCTCTAGCAACTTATTGAACCAAGACAAATCAAGATTCTTTCTCTGTTATCGTAGATGGAGATCATTTAGTCTAATAAATATTAAGACAATGCTGAAAAACGTATTGTGTTAACAGAAATAATCATTAGATGAATTAATAAATGTGGTGAAAATGAGGATCTTCAAGGATGCAGGCGTGATACCTCTTCCTGGGCCTAACTAGATGGCTTACTAGAAAATGAAGGACATATAATAAAAAAAAATAGGAAAGTATCTTCACATTCTAACTTTGGGATAAGCAGCAACTGACCTGTGGAAGGAAAGCCACTTGACGTTTTCACACAGCACCAGACCAGACGTCATGAGCAGCTCGGCGAAGTAGAGCGTCTCAATTCCTTCTTCTTCGTGCTTTTTAAACTGGAGGCCGGAGTTTTGGAGTAAGTCTATGGAGTCCTGAGAGTACATGTCTTCTCTGTGAGACGACAACAGAACATCGTCAAGCTCGGGCAACGCGAGTGAGGACGGATCAGATTAGAGGCGGTGGACGTACGTGAGGTTGAACTTGAAGTTGAACTGCCACGTCTTGGTGCCGAGGGGGGATTCTCCTTCCTCGTTCATGAACGTGAGGCCGAGCTGGATGATCTTCAGGAGGTCGACGTTGCACCTCAGCAGCTGGTACTGGTAGTCCACTGTGCTCCGAAACTCCCCGATCGGCCGGACAACCACCCCGGGGAATTCTGTGTCCTGATGAAGTATGAAGACAGAAGACACTAGAATTACCCCACATAACTCGGCCTCATCAGTATGTGATGTACACTTTGGTTTCCTACTCTCCCGTAACACTGTTATAATTTTGTTTTCATAGGTTCGCTGATAAATAATTTTTTAGAAGCAAAGAAAGTAAAGTTGCAATGACTAAACAAGGACTGAAAAACCACACAAACTTGCACTGTGCATGTTTAAGATGATACAAAGTCGCTTACCATAGCTATGAAACTGAAGCTTTGAATGATGTGCCGGATCTTCCTCATTTCCTCCTCCACATTGCACGCCCAGACTTCACAGATTACCTGACTGGAATCTGTAAGTGCGGCTGGCATGTTGGCAGGTCAGGAAAAGAGCTAAAACCCGAACAATACTGCAACCAGGTGAAGGGGGGGCAGAGTGATGAAGGCACGCGCCTCTGGATGGAGAAGGAGAGAACGTTGGTATTAGAACAACATCAGATAAGTATCAGAATTGGTCAGGAATCAGGAATCAGGAAACATTAATTAGCCAAAATATGTCAAACATACAAGGAATTTGTCTTGGCGGTTAGTGCGCGACAGTAGACAGACAAGACAACAGTGCACAAGTAATAAAATAAAGTGGAATGGAATGCTAATGCAATGCAAGGGTTAGTATAAAACAAGGGAATAAAGTTAAAAAAATTTAAATATTAAAAAGAAAAATATTAAGCATAAAGTGCACTAACGAACAAGTAACAGACAAGAGACAAAGTGACAAGTGACGACAAAGTGATGAATTGCAGTTAAGGTGGCAACTTTATTGCCACTTTAACTTTTGGTATTACTGGTTTTATAATGGAGAATGATGCATACAGCAAGTAGCATAGAAGACAAGTGAACAGACACTGCGAAAGCAAAACACTAGTAGAATGAATACAGAAGAGCAAAAAAAAACCCAAATGCATTAGTGTTATTTTTGTATGCAACTCCCTACATCGAACACTTTCAAATGAGATTTAAATGCTTAAATGTTAAGTTTGTACTCACAGTTGCATGCAGCAACATGCAAAAGGACATTATGTTCTACATCGTGCAGCCATAGAGCCGAGGCGTGGAAATCAGGTCCAAATGATGCGCGTTTCACCGCTTTACAGGCGACGGTTCGATTCAACATTCACAGGGACGGTGACGATGTTTGATAGAAGTGTTTATTGAAATAGAACAGTGAATGTGTCGCGATGGACTATGAGGGGTTAATATTTAGCCGCTAACGTCACAATAATGGATTTAAGCGGCATTTCATTTTCAATTAAAAGCAAAACACTTTTTATAGAATCATATCCATCCTTCGTAAAGTTAATTAGGGGTGAATATAATTTCCTTTAACATAAACTACATGTTACAACTGACTAAGTTGAATTAACCGTAAACGAGTTAACGTTAGCTAACATTAGTATTAGTTATTTATAATATCGGGCTAACAGCTCATATCAACAGAAATAAACACCACACAACGTCACATGAAAAAGCGTCTCTTAAACTATTTAACAAGGTGCAACGTGACATAATTAGTGAAACAGCTCGGTTTTTATTTTTTGTTTTTACGTGAAGTATCCTCGATAACAGACCGAGGCGCAGGCTACGTGCGTACCACCGCCGGCTAACGACCGGAGCTAACGCTAATCCTCGCGCTACCGACCGACAACAACAACGAAGCGGCTCCGCTTTCACGCCTTCGGGGGCGTCACGGACACCGCGCGCACCACAGACGTCACATCGCATCGCTGTGCTAGTACGAAGGTATTAAATACAATGGGTTCTTTTTTTACCTCAGGATTTGCGCGATGTGAGCAGCCAAGCTAGCTAGGTGATAGCGATTCTGTTTTTCTTCCTCTTCGTTTTCTCCCTGTTCTATTTCTTCTTCGCGTGTAGATTCCAGTGGATCGGTGTGTGCGCAGCGCCCCCTGCTGTGCGGGAGGCGTAACACCGCGAGATAAAACGGATCAGCCACGAAGGGGAAATACTAAACATTTCTGATTAATTATACCCAAACTCGATAACATGTTTTAGTCTGTATTTATATATTCATTTGAAAAAGATAGTTGCTGTTGTTATTGTTACAAATTACGATTTCTCATCTCACCTACGAGTATAAAACAAGTTGAAATGTAAACTTCACCAACTAGAGGATTGCTAGTTACGGGTCGATTACTTCAAAGTACTCTACTGTATGTTTTAAATACAGCACCTGTTGTATGTATGTATATTTTGATTTGTTCTTATATGATCGGAATACTTCCTTTAAAAACTTGAAACTTTCTCTGACAAAGAAACAGTTCCGATGCGAACTGTAAAAAAAGAAGTCTATAGATTGATAGACAACAAAAGAAAAAAAGAAAGAAATCACACATATACTACATATACACTCACTCTATAATAGTATGACGTACACCATTACGTAGACACACGGATATTTGACCCAAATGTGATTGTCGAATGGGTGATTAATAATAATCGAGTCTTCTGATTTCAGACTTTCCACCGAATGTTGTAGCCTCACCAGGAAGATCTGCTCCCATTCAACCACAAGAGCATCACAAAACTGTGAGCACGCACTTCAATATCACTGTCTGCTGTTGTGTGAATATTCTATTCGTTTGAGGTATTGGGTCCAAAGCAGGAAAACACACAGCAATCAAAAGTATCTTTGGTGTCTTTCCTGCATCATCAAAACACAGGAGTTTAACCCGTAATCATACCAAATTCATGAAACATTTCCAACACACACTAAAAATAGCCAATTTATTTGAAAACCATCTCAGGTGCTTGATGTACAGTCAAGTACATTGCTTGAACACACAGCTGTCAGCCGTCCACTGTCACGTATCTGAAGCTGGTTAGCTAAAGATAACGGTTAGAATCCTCGTGGCAGAGAGACGCTCCTGCGTTAGTTAATAAACCCCTGAAGTCCAATTTAATAATGAAGCTGACGATAATATATAAAGAGCGAAAGCTCCAACGTGTGTTTGCACATTTCTCTAACTGGTCTTTGAAGCTGTGGCGAGATAAACCACCTTGATGCCAAGAATAGAAACGGTGTGGCCAAAAAGCTCCCGATGTTTGTAGTGTCGTTACTCTGAGGTCACAACCAGAGACTCGTCCCTCAGCAAAACAACAGTAATCAGTTTTACTTCTAAAATAAAGAGTCAAGAGTCAGCGGCGAAAGTGACAAAAAAGGTGCCGGCAGGTCGATAGAAAAAGGTCGAGCCTGTGAAACGTGTGAGGACAGGACACACTTTTTTAAAGCTGATGGTGTTGTACAAAACAATTGAGGACTCACAGTCAGTCAGGCTGCTCACGAGGACGAAACTAAGACCAGAAGAACAATAATCTGTACACCGGAGAGTTACAATGGGAGAGAGATGCGTTAATGACCAATTCCCTGCTAAATAACTACATTATTAACATAGCGTCTGTATAGTGTGACACGCCTTTAGTTTATTTAATTACCTCTGCTAAAGGGTTCACTGGGGCTGAATAAAGAAATGTTTAAGTTGAGATTACCTCATGCTGACGGACAGAAAAGATGTAAATGTTAGAATAAAAAGGAAGAATAATGGACTCTCGGTTTTATACACATTGGTTGCCTCAGCTGGTGAATCCACAACTCTTCAATACACGAGTTCATCTACTGAGCGTGATTATAATAATCAAACCGCGACAAAAGTTAACACTGTTTGACAAAAACTTTTCTTCCCAAGTGTGAAATCGATTCTCTCTCCTGAGCCGAACACCAGACAAAGTAGAGCGCGACATCGTCCTCTTGAAGATGGGCCGGTCCTTTGCACCCAGGGAGTCCCGGCGTCATGGCAACGCCTCAGCCGGTCACTGCTCCGTGGATTGGTCCCTCCTCTGGATGTGGACGATCTCCAGTATGGGCAACAGCAGCTGGAAAGCATCCTGGACGTAGGACGCGCTGTTGGACGCCTGCGAGGAAAGAAGAAGACACAAAGTTTAATATGGTTCCAAAATGCTCCCATCTGTGGAACTGACAGTTGTGTGTGTGTGTGTGTTTGTGCATGTGTGGAGTGACACACACCTCTAAGAAGACCCCGGTTATCAGCGGGTTGAGGACGTCTCCCTTCTCGTTGGACTGCAAAGACGGAACGTTTGGGTCAGATGTCACTCGGCATTGAACAAAAACATCCATTGTTTGACTGTTCATCAATCATTTCATTCAGAATATGATTGAATCATTTAGTTGGAGTTACCAGTACTTTCACATTATTATAATTATTAAGGATAAACAAATGAGCTAATTGTAAAACCGAGCAGTCTGATGTATAACGTGAGTTGGAATAAACCGCTTACGCCTGCGGTCGTCAGGCAGGAGGTGAACTTCTTGGAAAGCAGCGAGAGCTCTTTGCAGAGGACCACAGTTAATCTGAGGACAGACAACGCGAAAGACGCGTGAATAATTGAGGTGCGGATAAAATGGCAATTTCGCTCGTTCTCGGGGGAGGAAATCCACGGCGACTCACTGCGACAGGACGCCGGCCTGCACGCCGCCGCCAGAGGAGAGGATCATCTCAGCCAGTTTGTGGAAGAGCTCGATGGATCGAGCCGTCAGCTCCGCCAGACTCCGGATGGCCGCGGCATGAACCTCCTGACGGGACACAACACACACACACACAGCTGAGGAGGTTGTGGACTGAAACATCCAAATATTCAATACGGAATTAGTCATTTGAGATGAATTGACCAATTATTATTTTTTTAAAGTCAGAATACCAAAACATTCTGCTGCCACCATTTCAAGGTGTCAGAATTTGCTGCTTTTCGTTATTTGTTGTACATCCGATTTCTCGGCCGCAGCATGTTGATGATAGCAGCAGCATACCTCCACAGACGGGGCTTTCTTCACATCTTCCTCCTCCGCCTCCTCCTCCTCCTCCTCCTCTCTGCTCATGTCAGTGATCTGGCTGCAGGTGCTCTTGCACGCCTGTTGCAGGTTAGAGGTCACGGGATTAACATCACTGAGGTTTGTGAACCACCAGCTGAGCACGATGACAAACAGGAACTGCACACTCTAAATGTAAAGTGATGGCATTGTATTTGTTATATATTGTCCTTCAATGGAGTCTTTTTTTAAATTAAAATAAAAAAATAAAAAATATCATTTAATAATTTTCCCTGAATTGTTTTTTAATTAAATCTTTGACCCAATTACTTTATTATTACAATTTTTTTCAAATGAATATTTTGACATGATGTATTTTGCCTTTCTTTTATGTCACATTTATTGACCTAATGTACTTAAATAAAAATATTGATACCATTTTCCATCACACTTTATTTTTTATGTTAAAACAAGCACACACTGACTCAAATATGGCACAACATCTGATAACATTTCATAATCAAATGAGACGATACTCACTACATTTAATGAGTATTTAACTCACGCAAGAGAACTTTCTATATCATGATATATATTGTTACCGAGATATAAAAGTACCTGCATTGTGATAGGACACACATTTCTATTTCTCCAACAACCCCACTCTGGTGTGTGTGTGTGTGTGTGTGTGTGTGTGTGTTGTTGGTACCTTGCTGAGTTTGTCCACAGTGGTCGTCACACTGAGACCTTCCAACGTCTCCACCAACTCCTTCTCAAACTCAGAGCCGTCTTTGTCTGCAAAATAGAAAAGTGGAGTCACTTATTCCCGGTGTTTCCATCCCTGCTGATGCTCCCGGTGCCGTGTTCCTCTCTGTGGGTTGGTATTTATATTTATATTCCCAGGGACGGTACCTTTCTTCTCGTCCATGTCCTCCTCGTCAAACTCCACCAGGGAGAAGGAGTCCTTGATGAGATCCAGCTCCTCTCTGAGCTGGACCACCTCGTCCCCTGATAGAGTGGTCAGCACCGACTTCACCTACAGAACACACACACATTTGAGGGTTTTATCACATCAAATCGAATTCTGAGACAAGCAACGATTGTATTACAACGAGTGTATTTCTTGGAGCCAGCATGTGTCCCCCTTGTACCTTAGACTCGCTCTCTCGAGACAGAATCTCCAGCGCCTCGAGGTGCGACAGACCCTGAAACTCATCGAACAGCATCCCGTAGTGAGCGGCCACTTTCTTCTCGGAATCGGAGAACTCTTTCTCCGCCGCCTGCAGCGCCTCTCGCTCCTTCGCCTCCCTCAACGCCTGAGAGACGGAGAAAGGGAGAGAAAGGGAGGAGAAAACGTCAGTTCGCTGTTGAGACAAGCATCAGGCAGCTGATGTTTATTATACTAAGACGCATGAAGTCTCGTCTCCACCTCCCTCTCATCTTCTGCAGACGCCGCAGGTCTGATTTAGGCTGCTAATACTCACGTGGCCTTTTGAAAATGAGCTTCGAGTGAAGCTGTCTGCCCACCTGAGACAGGGTGGAGTTCCTGCCCATCAGTCCTTTGGTCTTCTTGAAGCCGGGATCGCCTTCTGCTATCACGTCCATCGTCTTCTTCCCGATGAACTCCAGAGCATCCAGACCGCCCGATATCACCGACTTCCCCTGGGAGGAGTGTTTCGTTTTAACAACAGCGGCTGCTGCTTGACACGTGACACATTTATTAAGAAGTGATCATGTTTTATAGCTTGCTTCCTGCATCAAATTGGGCAAATGGAGATAAATTGATACTTTTGCTTTTTTTTTTTTAGAAGAAGATTTAATCGATTATTTCTCAAAGACACAAATCCCTAAAACTGCACGCTGGGTCTTTTCCAGAGTTGTGCCAATTCCAACGCTCTAAAAGACAAATAAATAGCTTATTATATGTTACACTGAATAAGATTTGCATTGCTATGTTTGTGCTTACTGTGCTCTGCACGACGTTGCTGAGCGACGACAGCATTCCCATCGCGCCCCCCGCCGCCGCCCTGTCCGCCTCCATGCTGGATCCGCCTGCAGGACAAGCAAAGAATAAATAAATCATAAAAATACTCGCGATATTGTGCGATGTATCATACTCATCCGTGTCTAAGAGGAGCACCGTGGTCTTTCTGCTCCTCGTCCACTTGTGCCGACAGCTCGGTCGGACTGGGGATTCCCAGCGACGTCTCTGCCTTCTCGATGGCCTGCGTGAGGCCTTGGCCTGGACGGACGGAGGACACAGGAAGCGGGGGACAGATTAGAGGACAGTCTTTGCAGTGAGGAATATTCAGTGTAACCGGTGTGGAGGATACAGGTCGGGGCTCTACACTCACCCACAGTGGCCACGGTAGCTGTTGCTGTGGATAAGATGGACTTGCCCCAGCTGCCCCAGTATCCCCAACCACCTTGAGACACAGTGGACTCACTCGGTGTCTGGGAGAGGACATAGAGACAGACAGGGAGAGATTGTGAAGAACTGGTAAGATAATGGAAAAGAAAAGAAATCAATGGCTTTTGTGACCTTTGTGTAAGTGAGCTTGTGTAAACTCGCATAGTCAGCGCCTGATGCAACAGAGCGAGCAGCCCTGAGTACGGTCAAGAGGTCACTGAGGGTCAGTAAGATATGTGATATATGGTTATCTAACCGGTGCCTTCGCATGCTGCTCCTCCTCTTTGGGGATCTCCTGCTCTTCGGCCGCCGGGTCGACGTCTGGTCTCCTCCTGGCCTTCCTCGTCGGGGCCACGTCGGTGGAGTTGTCAGGGACGGGCGGCGGGGAGCTGTCGGGCGTCTCTGCGTGGGGGTCCTTCTGCATCTCGGGCGCCACCTCCGGAGCCCCTCCGGCTGTCACTTCGCTGTCCGACATCCCCACGTCTCAGTGCATGCCTTCATTTGAAAGGGTGTAAAGGTTACAGATCTGGGTTTAACTACTGCGCACAACGCTGCGTTTATGCAAATCCCAGGTGTTGACTCTTGTAAGTAGAGATATTAAACATTTCCCAGAATGCATTTCAAAACCATCAGGGGATCAGAAGTGAACTAATCAGCTGTTTTTTTTTTACAATCTGTGTTAGTCTGAAGTCCAACTGCAACCAAAGGGATTCCAAATCACACGCAGTATGAATATTGTGTATGAATATCTCATGCATTCAATTAGGAATACATGTTATGAACATAAACCAAACACAGCTGTAAAATGGGTAAAGTCATACCAGTTCACGTTACACGCTGCGCGAGTTTTGATGTGATATTCTTGTAGTTGTAGTTAGCTAACGCTAATGACAACCTAGCAACGACGAGTATTGGCTTTTGTCACAACAATGATCAACACACAACTTAACGTCAGTCGGGAGGAAACTACATGACGTGACATTGTTACGCGTTGGCTACAAACTCACCTCTCAAAGTCCCGATGCTAGCGGCTAACGTCCCCCTAGCCTGCTAACCACTCCCATAAGTCAACAACGCGGAGGGTTTATCTTCTTTATTTGGGTTCGCACGTGTGTCTGTACACTGTCAACTCCTTTGAGTTCTCCAGTAAAGAGTTTAGGGATTTACAGTTTCTGGTTTCTTTCGTCCGACGATTAGCCACGTCACATTGTGTTTTTACCGACCGGGTCCGACGGTTCGTGACATTGAGAAGTGTAGGTTCCGGTTGGCAACTTCAAAATAAAAGTTGTTTCAGAATATAGATTTCCAACAAATGTACGTTATATAAAAGTAGGGCGAAACTTAAGTGAGACCCCGTGGTGCAACATATATCAAAGTTAAACAACCGGAGACATCGTTTGTATTTTAGATTAGTCTGTTATTTGGCTCCTCTAAAAGGTGTGCATAACTGTGGCTTTATTTTGGAAGGGGGAAGACATGACGTATTATTGACGTCCTTCTAACTGACACATTAGCTTTCTTAATCCCATTGCAAATCAACTTCCGGTACGGTGGATGTTAATAATTTAAATATCCGGTACATAAAAACAAAAACATCAAAACATTCAGTTGCCCGAAATAAAGATTGTAATATAAATTTGACTTTTGTGACTTTTTATTGGTCTATTGAAACATTGATGGATTTATTCACAAAAATGTAAATACACAACTTTAAGAATATTAATATCAATAAGAAACTAAGAAAAGTTCAGTCATCAGGGATACGTTAGAAATGTCTCGGGGCTTGAAATTATTAGAATTCATCTTCCTCAGCTTTATTTGTTAAGCTGTCACTCATGAATACACGCCCATCTCCGTTGATGCCCCGCCCCCTACGCCACATCAGGGTCAAAAGTCTGAATGTGAAAGAAAGAAGTGAAAAAAGGGATCTGAAAGCTGAAAATATAAGATTTGAATCTGAAAATATAAAATCTGAAATCGAAAAATATAACACAGCGAATGTCAAAACAGGCATATAAGTGAAACATGAAAAAAAGAGAACCGAATCAAAACTATATTCAACCCAAAATTACTTTTCCTCGACTTATTTTTATTTTGAAATGTTGAAATCGATCACCTGCCAGTGTTGGGAAGAAGCCCCGCCCACCTACTCTCACCTGACCCCACCAGGAAGTGAAGGGACCGAGCAGTGCGGTGCGGTGAGACAAGCTGGAACTGGTCAGCACAGTGAAATACGTCCAAACGGAATACATTTTCAGAAGAGAGGTGACAGCAATCGTCGGCGTAGTGTTCGTTTGTCTGGTCGCTGTCCGAGCAGGTGAGAATTGATTGGTCCGCAGTCAGTTTGGGGAGGGTTGCGAAATGCCCTTGGCGTTAAAAAGTCAACATAATTAACATCAAATTTATTCTAGTTTTTAAAAAAATGTGCTAAATGAAAAGTAAAAACCACGGCACGGTAAGAACAATACTGGACTAAAGTCACCGAAGGAGAACGTCCTCTTCCTGTTTGTCAGGTTCGTCTCCATGTGAACTCCTTTCCGACATGCTGCCGCCTCACAAACACCTCCTGCTCCTCCTCCTCCTCGCGGGCCTGCTGCTGCTCGGCGGCGGGGCCGGAGCTCCCGTCGGGTCCGAGGCGGAGTCCTCCGCGCGGGCGGGCCGCGTCCCCTCCAGCGGGGGGTCCCTGCTGGCGAAGGAGGGGTCCAGCGCGCGGATCGAGTGCAACGTGACCGGAGGCCACGAGGACATCAAGTGGTACAACTCTAAAGGACATCTGCTGGGGGACGACGCGGGTACGAGGGGGAGAAAAATACAACACTATATATTATGTTTAAGTGGTTGCGTGACACCTGGTACTGTAAAGTATACAGATACAAAAAAACATGTCAGCAACACAGTGAATTTCAAATAAATACATTTTACATGTTATTTAAATATTAGAGTTTTTGTGTTAAATCAACCAAAAGTCAATTGAAATGCATAATTTTAATTTTTAATTATTTAATTTTATATAAGGACCACCATGGCAGTTGGTTTGGGACTTAATTGCGTTAAAGGAACTGAAATATAAACTGCTTTTGTCTTAGCAGGTAGTGGTTAGTGTGCTCTGCATTTCTAATTGAGCTAATGGGTTAAATATTTTTGATAGAGGAGACGGTGGCGACTCATTTCCTCTCTTTGGATTGTCTTTTGTGTCTCTTGACTTCAGGCGGGAGGTGGAACCTTGAGGAGAACGGCGTCCTGAACATCACCGTGGTCTCCTTCGAGGACCGCGGCCTCTACACCTGCGTCGCCAACGGAAGCGAAAGCTACGCCGTCACTCTCCGCGTGGCCCACACCGACAGCGGCCTGGGCCTCTACTACGTCGTCGTCTGCCTGGTGACGTTCACCGTCACCATGATCCTCAACGTGGCGCGCCTCTGCATGGTCGGCAGCCACCTCAAGAAGACCGAGAGGGCCATCAACGAGTTCTTCCGCACCGAGGGCGCGGAGAAGCTGCAGAAGGCGTTCGAGGTCGCCAAGCGCATCCCCATCGTCACGTCGGCCAAGACGCTGGAGCTGGCCAAGGTCACGCAGTTCAAGACCATGGAGTTCGCCCGGCACATGGAGGATCTGGCCCGGAGCGTCCCCCTGCCGCCGCTCATCCTCAACTGCCGCACGTCCACGGAGGACGTGGTGCAGACGGGGGACGCCGACGCGGGTCCCGGCGCGGAGCAGCGCGGGAAGCAGGTGTCCAGGAACCGGCAAGCGATAGGCCCCGCCTCCGCCGGGAGAGACGACGACGACGACGACGCGGCGGCGGCGCGTCAGGCGCTGCTGCCCAGTGGGGGAAACCATGAAGGCGGCGTCGACGTCAAAGTTTCTGTCCACACCGTGTCCGAGGGCGCCGGGGTGAGCCTCCACCAGCCAGGCTCACGCACAAGCGTGGCTTATGAGAGCAACGTGTAGGCTGAGAAAGACGCCCTCTGAAGTGGGAGGAGCCTGGCTGCGAGGGGAGAGGCTTGTGATTCAGGTTCTCCGTGTGGTGCAAAGACAGAGGCAGAGTCACGCTCGTTCTGCTTCCTGCACCAAAGTATTTCCGCGGGACTTTAAGCGAAGTGCAGTGGATCCAATTTTGCTTTCACGGATCCGAAGGCTGGTTCAGAACTAATCTTTAAAATCACAACGCAAATATCGACCGCCAACGGAGCTGCGAGTTGTATTTTTCTCCTTTTAATCTTTGGTTTTAATGTCCGTTTAGCAGCTGATCTGTTCTTCGGTCTGCCTCCACTTTCATGTCTCACTCACGAGAAGAAGAGGGAGACATTGTGTGCCGGTGCGAGTAATTATATTTTGCTGTGTGCACGGCTAGAAAAGTCGGACTATTTCTTTTCTTTTTTTCATGTAGGTAATGCAACGTTTTCTTTGTGTGACATGTGAGTGGAACGTATACAGTAATCCATTTACGGAATGTTATCTTTTTGTCATTGTTCGCACACAGATCAGTGCCTCTAAATGGTGTCAGAGGGCCAAAGAATATGAATTGTTCAACATATATCGAGGGGGAAAAAAGTTTAAAATGTTTTTTTGTTTCCTTTTCCAGCTTTTGAAGTAAAACACAAAGATTCACTCTCAAAAATCACATTGACTCCTCACAGCCACAAGTGCAATGTGGATAAACATCTTCTTTACTCAAAGAGGAAGTTGAACACCTTTTGTAGTAATTGTTACAATGTTTTATTGAATCACACTACGACTGTTAGATACAGTAATAAACTTTCAATGGTTTGTCTGGTGTTTTTTTTTTTTTTGTATTTCGTTGCCAGTGAGGCCGCTGGGGGGAGCTGTTGTGTAGAGCATCACTTCAGCCCAACGGGCAACGCGTCACCTGTTCGTGAACATTTAACCGTGTCGTTGGAGCGGTAAGTGAGCTCAGCTTTAAGTTCAGGTTTCTGGCACTTTTCGGTTGAATTACCGAGCGTGCTTTTTTGAAAACCTGCAGCCGTGCTGTGTCTCTCCAGACAAGTGTAACGTAGGTGTTGCTTGAACATTCACGGTTATTGTTGCTCTAAAAGTCGCTGCACTTAAGACGGCGCCTTTCCTCGAGTCCTCCCGCCACAGTTTAATGTAAATAGCGTAAGCCTTTGCGTTAACACAGCCTGACATTTAAAAAAAAACGAGTGCCTCACACTGTGCCACTGTGTACGTACCGTCCTGGAACATATCCGGTTGGAGAGCAGCACAAAGAACAATAACCTTGGGCCTCGGTGTCGCGCAAGTCAAAAAAATCCATCCTGCTCCCCCTCCTCCGTCCTCTCTGGAGGCGAGCTTATCTAAATAGAATTGATTGGGCCGAGCGAGCATTCATCATCCCGAGCCACAGCAGACGTTCAGGGAGAAGGGGAAGGAAAGATTTTAAGGACGGGATATTTCTCTGTGTCCTCGAGGTACTTGTGCACGTGTATCTGAGGGCAAGGGAAATGAATAAAACGTCATCACCGAACTTCGGACTCTTCTTTCACATTTTTCTTCTATCCTTGAATAATAACTATTGAACAGAGACCAATTGAGTAAAATTTAGACCCCAAACTCTTGAAATAGTTTGGTCCTACATTCAATTTCAATTGTGCCGTTTAAGGGTGACCTCGCTCAACAACACGGCCGTTAATATTCCAGCTCGTTAAAGGCATTAAAAACCTCTCACGAACTGTGTGTGTGTGTGTGTGTGTGAGTATCTGATTATGCGCACTCATAAATGAATGAAGCATGTGCGTGCAGTACATTTGAACTTCTTGAATTTAAATTGCTCATAAAATCGTGTCAGGAGGAAAACCGTTGCTAATTGCATTTTATTTCTAATCAGCCTGAAGCAACAAGACAGTAACCGTGGTGACGGATACGCTGCCAAACACGTGCAGACGCCTACGCAGCGCCATCGTGGTGAGACTTGGAGGTCGCTGAAGGACAGGCCTCGGCCGTTGGCAACCTGTTGGAGGATCACTGTTGACTAAGACATCGTCGCATGCGGTGGCGCTGAGGTTTAACCTTCGTTTGACCAAAGGAGCCCGAACCACGTCGACGGGGCGTCCACGCGGTCCCAGGCGGGGAAATGTCTTCCCCGCTGTGATGACTGGCGTCCACGTATCAAGTCGAGCCTTATCCCCCTAAATGTTTGCAAAAGTTTGGCTCACATTTAGTTTTTAGACCAGAGGTCTCTAACTCCCTATTCTACGTCCGCAATCTTTTTTATTTTTGAGCTTCACGCTCTTTAGACGTGAGCATAAACGCGATCTGATTGGCTGGTGCAGTGAGTGAAGATGACGTCTTCTCCATCGATTTATCTGTTCGCTTCAATATGTTGGATTTATGTTAATGTGTATTTAAAGACCATAAATAAAATTCTCATTCTGATTCTGAAGACATTTACATTTGTGGGGAAAAAAATTGTCTTATCAACCAAAAATTTCGCGACCCCCCCCTGCAGTACCTTCGCGGACACCTTGGGGGTCGCGGACCCACCTGTTGAAGACCTCTGTTTTAGACCATCAGGGAGCTTTATGAAAGCTTTGGTGACATCCTCAGTTGAACTATTCATTTGTCCAATAGTGTCGTTTTAACCCCTGAAAAACGACACGCCCGCAGTCATAGCATTCAGCTCTGCAGCGACTCACTGGTGCCTCTGGACTGTAGTCTTGTTACTCAATTTCTTCTCCACAATATCTATTTCCTCTCTTTTCTAAGATTGGAAAAGTGCAAAGTAAATAAAGTCCACCCTCCTACTGTCTGTTTACTCTCAGTCTACACTCACATACTTTCAAAACGACCTTTTTTGCAGCACATCTAGGTCGGCGCTTATTGTCCCTATTTTCACACACGTGGACCCGGGAACGGTCCAGGCGAGATGGAGCAGCACACGCGCCGACAAAGGCATGCGGCCAAGGGGGGAGGGGGGGGGGGCTGACCCCATTCTCTGCAGGGTCTCGCTGCTACGAGCGGCCCGCTGTCGAGCACTAATGGGAAATAATGGCTCGCTGGGGACACGGCTGAAGGTATCGGGGGGTCACATCCTCCGGCGGGCTCCTTGCATCCTCGGACAGATGCACACTGCGCGGAGAGAAAGCGCCTTGAGGGGCCGGAGTGACGAGGAGGGGGGGGGGGGGGGGTCAGGCGGTCCGAGTGTGGCCCCTTGAAGCTCTGAGGGAAGTTGTAGATCAGTCCCCGGGGTTCGGGGCGGGGGTCTTAACCTTCTTGATGGGAACCCTAATGGGGTCGTGGATGGATATAAAAGAACTTTTGGTAATGCTTCCTCTAACGGGTTCGTATTTACAGGTTTTGAGGGCGGTTTTAGTACAATTTGATGTTTGGTAAGAACGTTTCCTGAAGGGAAAAACTAAATTCCGTGACCTTCCATATTTATATATGCATATAGCCCCCTTTTCTTACACAGCTGACTAAGCCGTGCAGCTCGCTTGCACAGCGATAGCTTCATATTCAAAGCTCACCTGAAGCTGTTTGGTTGCGGTCCAAAACCTTGAGGTGTCAAATCTTAAGCTGTAATTTGCCTCCACTCTGAAGTCCAGGTGTGTTCTTTACACAGGGAGCATTTGGAGTCCCGAAGGAACAAACAGAGCCCGTCGCAAATGATCATTTGTTGCATTTTGCGAGTTTGAATAGGACCATGATTAAGTTCCTGAAGTCAGAGCTGTGGGTTCATGCCAGAAACGTCCTCACTTCTATCCTCATTCATCTGACCAACAAAGGCAAACGTTGCTTTTTCCTCACGTGACGCTCGTCCTCGGCTCCAGTCTGCAATTTAAAACGTTCCAACCGAGTTGCTTTACACGGCACGTGGAAATTTCCGGTCATTTTTCAATCATCCAGCCGAGGCTGAAACAGCTCCGGTTGTCAAGCGCTTTACTGCCTTTTAATTTTTTCTTTTTATAACCTAGAGGTAACAACCCAGACCTCCTGCAGCTCACTCGTCCTCGTTTGACCGAACACGTTTGAATAGAAACCACATATTTAAAAGTACTGCTATTATTCAAACGTATACTCCTTCTACTATCTTATCTTATCTCTTTTATTGCGAGAGTAATGACAAAACCAGAACCGAACAACACAAGGGAGTGAAAAAACAATGCGTATACTGCTCAGGAGACAAGAGAATAAGGTTCTGCCGTATTTGATGTTAGTCTGGGCTGAAGACTTTAATATGAATATCCATTAATACAAAAATAACTGATCTTCTTAATCACGTGTCAAAGTATCAAACACAGCAACTGCTGGGATTTTGTTCACATGCATCGTTTTTAGGGGTAAATGAAGCGTATCCTCTCAACGGGGAGCACTGGATTATCTCCTGCGCTGCCACATATCATCACATTTCAATCAAAACCTCTGCTTTTAATATTTCATTCTCACTTTTCATCTAGAATGAGTGTTTTGACTCAGACGTTTTTTTGCGCGCGTTCATTTTTCCACACACAAGAACAAATTTTCTCCGCCATCCAAGGTTTGCAAAAGGCCCTTCCCTCTAATCTGCAATCTGCACTCACATGACGGAGGCCTCGCTCTCCTCCCGGGGAATGAAACACCCACACTGCATGAAGCACCAACGCAGATAAACAAACCTCTCGGAGGTCCGTTCCTTCCTCGCCACCTCATCCTGTCGCACACGTCGGTGTCCTGATGCTCCCCAGTACGGAGCCGCGTTGGCGCGCGGGGGGTGACGCCGGAGGACTCGGGCCTTGCGCTGCGCGGCTCCACCTTTGGCCTCCGCCCTTTCGGCCCCGCCCTCGGGGCCGTTTGTTTCGACGATTGCTTCGCCGCAGACGGATGATACCGGAGTGGCAGAAACACTATAAATACGCGGCGATGAAGCTCATGAAATATTCATGGACCAGCGTCCTCCTCCATCTTTGCGCTGACAGGTGGGATTTGCTTCTGTGGGAAATGAGCCCGGTAAGAGCTACCGGATGACATTACTGTAATGACTGCAAAGTTACTGTTCAAGCGCCCAGTCAGGAGGAGGACTTTCAGCCGCGGTTATATTTACGTGAATCAGTCAGAGGCGGTCGCAGACTACGCAGCATTCTTTTAGGACAACATGCAAGACGCATGATGACAAAGTTTGCTACGAGTGAATGTGTGTGTTGGCATCACAGAACCAACTCAAGTCATTTTCCGTTCCATAAAACTGGGGGGATATGAACCTTCATTAAGAAACAAGCCGCAGCCTCCACTCTGTTCCCTCAATGTGGGCGACTTTCTCACAATAAAGCTGAAAGTCAGGAGTTGTCTGCCGTAATCATTGACTTCTACGATTAATGTTTTTAACGGCTGGTGTGATTAAGGTCAGGTGAAGATCGCCGTCAAGGTGTAGGTTAAGGTCAGGCAACTAAAACACCGATTTTACCTCAACTAGCTCCGGTGTCTGGTTTTATTTGTCTCGTGTCAAGGTGGAGACTTGCAACAAAGGCAATTATTAAAAAGATGAACATGAACAAACGGGTGTAATGCGTGTAGATGCTTCCATATCTTGCGGTGACGTGTTATATAATAATGTATGTGTGTGTTACATGGAGTAAAACCCTCCATAACACCGGCTCTTCTCCTGTGAATCATGTCCCAGTTTGGTCTGCCCTTTTCAACATGGCAGCTGTATTTGGGCTGGAGTCACGCAGGGACGAGAAGGGTACGAAACTAGCGTCCTCGTACAAAAAAAAGGCCGTCTTCCTGTCCCCGCTCCCGTGAGACGTCCTACCACTTCAATGCCTCGTTTCCGCACT